GTTCTGATGGCTCACTGGTAAATTGCTCAGTGACATTTTTTATAGTTTTTATATAACTCCAGCTACTTCTATTACTAGGTCTGATAAAAAAAATTGTGTTTTCAAAATGAAAACATTGTCTTGTCTTTTTTGTTTTGTTTTGTTTTGTCACCATTCAAACAAGGCAAAACTGTTTTTGCTCTAACCAAAATGGAAAACATTTTCAGATGAAAGCCAAGCCTGGAAATTTTCAACCTGCTGTGTTGTTATGAGTTGTGAGCAATTGAAAAGGAGTTTATAGTGGAAATCTGAGTTCAGCAACTACCACTCAGCTGGCTGTTGCAGAAATGGTCCCACTGAAGGGAATGAGGCTGCTCCTGTGAGTTTAAGTAGGGACTGCAGAGCTCTGCCTCTTTGGAGTGATTATGGCTCATACTCCTGCTATAATGACAGGGCTTCTGATTGCATTTATGGATGTAATAGCAGTAAATAGTGGGCTGAACTACACAGCAATAACTCTTCTGATGTCCTCTATCCATTGATTCATGGATCAAGGCACAGTATACACACGCAGCTCTGTTAATATGAAGTCAGCAGCATCCAGGTATGTCTGTGCAGGGGTGTCCTGTTGAACAGCCAGGACAATACCAAACTGAGAACAGAATTTGATGGGTTGTTTTACAAAACATAATATGGCTCACAAAATTGATTAAAAGATTGCTTTGTGCTGTTGGAGAAGTCTGATCTCATTAATTAGTGGTAGAAGTAAGAGATTAGCAGGTTGGCTCTGAGTTATATTGGTGGATGATTGAACATAATGTGGCATCACAATAAATATGAAAATGATTGCACCATCTTCATTATTCTGGCATTTAGTAATACTGCAATACATGAAGATTAAACTCTTCATTATGAGTATTGATTTCTCTGGGCTTTAGAAAGTGCAGGTTGAAATTGCACTAGAGCTGAGATTCTCCTGTTATCTACAAAACCAGGTACGGATTTTCCTGCTAACACACATTTATGGCAGTCCTTTCAGGCTTTGAACAGGAAGCCAAAAGGCAGCTTTCTCTTTTCTCAGTAAGTTTGTGAAAGACATTTGGTCACAGATCAAAGTGCCATGTTTGTGTTCAGTGTAGGATAGCACAGTAAATACACTTTGATACAAGGGCTAGAAAATGTTTGTTATGAGCTAGGTGAGCACTGCCCCTTCTATTGAGGCTCCATGTGGCAGTTTCTCTGAAGCAAGGCAACATGAGAAGTCGCTCTTCTATCCACCTTTTCCATTGTTTAATGAAATGGAAAACTTTGAGGAAGTTTAAGGCAACAAGTCCTGCTTCCAGGCCAGAGCTACTGTTTCACCTGTGCCAGATGACCATAAAGAGGATGCTCCGTTCACTCTCCCCACTCACTCATTTGTGCAAAGCTATTTTGAGGGTAGAGCTGTGCTCTCAAGATGGAACTGTAGCAATCATATTCTTCACGGGTTTTGTTTTACTTTGTTATGGGCTTTTTATTATGATTTATAAAACACCAATCTGCATAAGTTATCCTAGAAAAAGGGAATTCCCTAAAGGCGTAGGAAACTTCACTCAACAGGCAACACCCAAGCTCAGAGAAACTTTCTAGGTGAGATAGAGTGCAGCTCCAGTCCCACTGAGACTGCCCCAGGTGACCTGTGCAAGAGGAGAAGGTGGGAATTCTCTTGTATTGGCTTGACTCATTTTTCTTGGAAAGGCAGATGATGGCATGTGGAGAGGTGACAAATGTTGTGAAGGCTGGGAGTAGGGAGTGTTGCCGGCAAGGAGCTGCCCATGAATTCTCTGGTATGCACAGGTTTTATAGAAATGAAGTGGATGGAGCTATTCAGGTCTTAACATTGCCCATATAGCTCTGAAGTCCTACTGTATTTTTTAGTAAGCAGGTACTCAACTGAATGTTTCCTTCCAGTTTCATCTGATTTGCAAACCAGGCTGGTTCTTTGTCAGTGAAGCAGTCTGAAAAATAAAGGGTTCTAAGCAGCCACAAGCTAAAACCAGGGAAGTGACAGTATAAAGCAAAGTAGCAGATAGTCTGACAGATGGAAAAAGTATAACATTCTTACCTTTTGAAATTCCAGGCAGCCAAGAAGAGGATTAAAGAAGTCATAATAGTATGCGGGTTGCAAATGAAAGTATAAAAACTTAAACCTTAAAGAGAAGGAAGAAAGGAGCGCATGGAAGAAGTGGTGAGAGGAGGAAAACAGCAGACAGCAAAATAAGTCACTGCAGGAATTTATTAGAGAAACCCATTGAAGTGAGGTGGCATTTCAGGTGAAAATTCGGGAGGATTTTGTTCTCGGTAATTGCTAGATAAATGATAGTGTGGGTATTGAAGGCAAGTTAGTTTAAAATAAAAGACCCACAATATAGCTGTTTTAAATTCCCCTCACCTTCTACATATCATTGCAGAAAGCCACTGATTTCAGAAGAGAGGTATCCAAAATGTAATGAAAAACACTAAAAATATTTGAGTCCATTGATGGGACATCATCAGCTTGAAATCAAAGCAGTTTAAAAGAAAAATGGCTTGTTTTAGCAATTGCAATTGCCCTGTCAGTTCTCCTTGCAAGCACATTTTCTTCCTCTCAGAGTCCCTTTTTATCCCTGTCACCGTGCAGAAATCCTAGGCACGTGCATGGGGCAGCTCATCAGCTGCTCAGGAGAAACAGTAGAACTGGGCAAAGGCTAATGGCCATAATAAACAAAATGAAAATTATAGAAGGAATTAAATTTGTTTTATTTTTAATTTTTTTAATATTCATCTGATTCTTACTGAACTGGCGGTGGAAGGTTTTTTAAAGAAATCCCATGTAAGTTGTTTGTGTCCCATTTGAAGTGGAGTGACTCATGGGGCTAGAAATGGCTAGTCTGAATACAACTGGGGACAGCAAAGTTGCATTAATTTATGAGCAATAGTACTGCAGACTGGAATCCCGAGCAGGATTGTGGACAGTAACGATCTGCTGCATGGGGCAGTGAGCCTCTGGGACTTCGTAGGCTCTTTAGTGTTCAGTATCTGTGTATGTTCCTGGATAGGGACACAGCTGCCTTGTAGCCCCTTACATAGTCCAGAGAAGAGCCTGATTCTCTTTGCTGTACCTCTTACATGTACAGTTTCCTGGACCTCCGGGATGGAAAGAACAGATTCTGACTTAAAGCAGGTGTTCTAGAGGAACACTGCTGAGGAGGAAGGAACTTGAAGGGAAGAGTTATGGGAGATGTTGAAACCATTCCTTTATGGAATGTGCTGCTCCCATTGCAGCAGGATCTGTCTCGTGGTTGTCTAAAAAGCGTTTCAATTACTCAAGGGCATTTCGTTACAATTTAGGGGATCACATTGTTTCATCACCTGAAACAGTGCTCTGCAAACTTCCAATTGGTCTGTTTTTTCTGAGTTTATGCTATTCCTTTGAACAAGGAGAAGATACACAGGAAGGATCAGGCAAAGGTTTTTTTTTTGTGTACAGACTTTGTTTTGTAACTAATACTTTTGAAAACAAACAAACAAAAAAGAAAGCTTTTGGTATTGCTTACTTTGATCAACATATGCTTCCAGTTTCAAAAACCTGTGGAATAGTGTTTTCCCTCCCTCCTGCTCTCACTTCACACTTGGCAAATGTCTTTCTTGTTCCTTATATCAAATCACAGACATAAGCATGTGTTTTTAATAGCTGTAGATGTTGTGGAAGGTGCAGTGGGTTTTGTGGCTGTACTCCTGCCATCTGATGACTGTGCCCAAGTGCAGCCTCAAGTTTATCCTGTAACACAGTGCAAGCTTATTGTGTCTGCAAAAGGAGTCTTGAGATGGGGGGTACGTGGAGGTGGGAGGAGAAGGGGGCATCACAAAAGGCACTAAGTGCAGAAACTGGGTAACACCTCAGATCTTAGGGCTTTGAAAAATTGTACCTTCGGCAGGGGTGACACACACTAAGCAACATTTGAGACAATGATATCCCTTTCACTTAAGAAAGAATAATGTTAAAATATGCAAGAGGAAAATTGGGGCAGGAGGAATTTTTTTTAGCTTTGAGGTACTTTGCTTCCTTTTTCTGCTAATATTTAAAATTTCAGATTCTTTCAAAACCATTTTTGTTGAAAAAGGTCCCTACAAGGTCAGAGCACTTGACGTTGTTTAACTGAAGAATGAATGCCAATTTTCAGATAAAATTGCGATTTTCTTACACTAAGTTCAGGTTTTTGAGTTGAAGAGCAGTTACATAAACCAAAAACAAAGCACTTTAAATTCCTTATTGAAAATGTCCCTCCAGTTCTCCATTTAATCAATATATCCTGTCTGAACCTTGCACTGTGGCACTTACTTTACAAAATAAGGACCAGAAATTACTCCATGAAAATAAAAAATGAACATAAATTTTAAATAGGATTGTAAGAGCCCCTCTCCTACATGAAGAAGTGAAAATATGCAGGTTGCCATTTAAATGTTCCGGGATACATCTGCTGTTACGAGTAAATGCTATCAGTCAATAATCCTCAGCAGCTGTTAAGAAGCAGAGTTTCACCAGCTTCTCAGCAGAGCTGTGCTGATCAGAGGAACGAGCAGCTTTGGCCAAACAGGGGGTTTCACTCGGGGGGAATGTTGGCCTTGACATTGTTTGAATACTTAGAAACTTTGAGGTGACTCCTTTGAAGGTAGAAATGTGCATACTCAGGTAAAGCTTTGTCCAACTCATAAATATCTGGGTACTTGCCCATGTTCATGCAGCCTTGTTCAGGATGAGGCACACAGGCAGGGCTACATGGGGAAGGCTGGCATGGCTGTGCCCAAGGGGTGATGGCCCTGTATGGGGACAGAGGAGAGGGGTATGATCTTGATGGGGTGCAGGCTGGCACCCCTTGTGAGTTCTCGCTCTGCCATAGAAACTGCTTTTGAAGAGAGAGCCGAGGTGGAATGTGTACTGCTCACTGCACCCCTGCCGTGTGGATACACTCAGAGATGTCCTGTGTTTTGTTTTTGAACAGGAAAAGCCAACAACAATGTACAGTGGGATGACGACTCCGTAGAATACATGCCAGCCAACCCAGTCAGGATCGCATTTGTCTTGGTTGTTCATGGCAGAGCTTCTCGGCAGCTCCAACGCATGTTTAAGGCTATTTACCATAAAGACCATTTTTATTACATTCATGTTGACAAGGTAATATATCACTGGTTATAAATTGCCTGTCTCACCATCTGTCAGTCTACCCATCTTTGTCATCTTCTTCATCTTTTTACCTCTGCTGCATAAAGTGCACGTCACTTTTTGTCTCTTCATCTGTTATATGTTCGGAGCCTCTTTTTTTTTTTTTCTTATTTTTCTTTCTTGTTATCTTCTTTATGTAAGAGCCTTCATTTCTCCTTCTGTGTCAATGAGTCTCTCTCCATGTCTGTCTGTTGTACATTTAGTTAGCAGCAACTGATAAGTTGATGCAGACTGAGGTGGTGGCCTGAGGTGCCTTAGGCAAGTCACACACTATAAAAGGGAGGTGGTAACATTCACCTCCTTTATGAAAGCCCTTTGGGATCTACAATGACAAATGATGAATAAGAGCTAATCATACTGATTAGTGATTACTGTAGTTGTAATAAAATGAATTAAACGGGGTTCTCTGTACATTTAGGAAATAAGCATTTAGCAAAAGACGGTTTTGTACTGTAGTAAGTGAGGGCAAAGCAATGGCAGCACTCGGTGAGTCAGGAAGTAGGGTTGGTGGCTAGTGAATACAGGGAGAGAAAATTTTGGACAGAATAACTTGAATGTGTTACTTTTTTCTCCTGTAAAGCGATCCAATTACTTGCATCGGCAAGTTCTCCAGTTTGCCAGCCAGTACCCAAATGTGAGAGTCACTTCTTGGAGAATGGCAACTATCTGGGGAGGAGCAAGTCTTCTGTCCACCTACCTGCAGACCATGAGGGACTTAATGGAGATGAATGACTGGCCATGGGATTTCTTCATTAACCTCAGTGCTGCCGACTACCCAATCAGGTACAATGAGCATTTTAAGAATCTGTATGTTTTGTTCCTAAAGGAAATAAGTATGGATATAAGGGATGACATGTCCAGGCTGTGCTGCAAGAAGCACAGTCAGAGGGGCAGTTTCTTTTTTTTTGTAGCAGAAGACTCCTCTTGGTGAAGCAGGTGTCTGAGAGCCACACTTAGGCCAAGGAGACAATCACCTTATTGTACCCTGTGTGTCTTCCACTTCCTTGGCAGGGGCTGCAGCTGGGAGCAGGGTAGCAGCACTGGGCCTTCACTTACGCTGAGGGGCTGCTCTAGTTAGTCAATACTTCCAGCAAAAGAGGCAATAGAGGATGAGTAAAGTAGCAGGAAGTGCTGGGGCTCAGCAAATGAACCCCAGGCATGGAGAGATTCCTCCCTGCCAGGGCTCTGATTAACAGTTTGATTTGATGTCTCAGCAAGTGTTAAAGGTATGAATACAGATTCAGTGAAGGTAATGTTCTCCTCTCCCTTTTTTTAGTACTTTTTCTGTGGAGGATAAGGGTTGTAGAAGTGAAAAATAACTAGCTAGGAGTCAATTATATCTTCAGCACCAACCGTTGCCTGAATATCCACACAACCACATGATAAGGCTCGTGATTTTAAGTGAAATTTATATTCTTTCTGGATTTGCATCACCCAGGTCTCACAACTTCATTCCATAAGTTTACAACATTGTGCAAAAGTAGATAGTCCATAAAAAAACCCCAAACCAAACGAAAAAAACAACCAACCAAAACAAAAAATCAAAAAAATACCCCCCCCAAAAGCCCCCAAGTGTCCTTAAACTGTTTGGTTTAGGCTGTAAGAGTTATTAAGAAGAAAGAAACAGGAAATTCTCCTCGTGGCTTCTGTTTCCCTCTGTGTTGAAATAAATCGATGAAAGGGGAAGTAACTTTCTTGAGCGATTTTCTGATGAGTGATGATATAACATGGTTCTAATATTCCTAGAAAAGAAATATAAAAGATGCTTCCACTGATTAGGTTTCTCCAAGATCTCTCTCAAAGTGTGAGTCCCTTCCTGAAGCTGCTACTTGGACAGAAATCTCACCACTGAGGTGAAAAATGAAAATAAACCCAAGGCCTTAGGAAGGACTCTGTGAGGATGGACAAAAGGCTTTATTGCTGGTGCCTGTTTCTAAGCACCGTCGGAGAAATGCAGTGCATTTGGGAGAGAAAAATTAGGGAAGAGCACGAGTCACTGAGATTGCATTGATATTGGAACATGGGGATTTGAATTAAGAAATCACGGTATTTCACATTGCATCAGAGTTAAACACTTTCGGTGTCCAACAGAAAGAGACTTAATAGTTTTGACATATTGTTCTTGCTTGTAAGGGAGAGTATGTAGTTCTCTGTCTATCTCCTGAGTTTTGGGAAAAGGTAGCTTGTTATTCCCTATCGTTCACTTCCCTGGTGAGGAATGCTGTATTGATGCTAAAAGGTGGGCTAATGCAAGACCATAAAGGAAGAGGTAGGTGATGGCACTTTGAATCAAGTAAGATAAATTGTAAGAGAATATTGCTGAAGGTCTGGTGTAGTACTAGACTAGTTCCAGCAGATATGTCCAGTTATCCTGTGGTGTTGAGTCCACTCTAACAATCGTGTGCAATGCTGGGGCCATGACCTGTGGGAGTCTGAACTGTTCTTAGTTCAAACCACAGGGCCAGATGGGGTCAGTTGCTCACAGACATGGCCATAAACAATCCCAGGGGTTGTTTACTAGACTGTAGCCAGTTCAGTGTTAATGGATTCTTTGTAATAATGCCGTGGCATCTTGCAGTCATTCAAGCTCTGAACAAGTCCCATTCAGCTGGAGAAATTCCAGGCGCTCGTTTCTTCAGAGAGGGAATTCTTGAAGGTCGTGGTTCTCCATTGCAGCTGCTCTCAAAGATGTGTGGTGGGCTCTCACCAGCCAGGCAGCATCTGAAGTGCTCCCTTTTCTTTCTGTCAGAGTATTCTGTTACCAGAACTGAAGGAAATGTGCTTTCCCTTCACACCATGATGCACTTCAACAAAAAGTAAGAAGCCTTTTTTAGCACTGCAACTTCAGTGACAGTGACTTATAAGTATTGTTAGAAATTTTTTAATGTGGAGAATTACAGCTATAAACCCTGGAAAATGTTATCAAATACATATATGAGTCCATTTCATTTTCATAGTGGAGGAGCTATAAATTAATATTCTTTATAATCTTTAGAAAGGCATTACTCCTTGCATACCCCAAAGAGAGCTGGTTGTTTTTCCAGGAAATAGTAAATAGCATGTTTCAGGATTTTTTTCCTCTTCTTTCAGACTTCATGCCATGATTTGTCAGATAATGGGCTACGGGCAGTTTATGCTTCTCTCACTGGTTAGTCATATTGCAGTGGGTTTTGCTAGGTTTCCCTGCATAACAACATATGAATTTTGTGGATTAATAGTTTTTATCCAGAGCTGCTTCATATTAAGCTTTCGCTTCCCATCTGCCATACCATCTGTAACACTGAAACCTTTACTACTTCTCTTCTGATAATAAAAGCTAATCCAGCCTTCTAAGTCAGAAAAACATATTCAGTATGTGGGGTTAATACTATATGATGAAGCCTAAATCTGTCCAGGGAGCAGTCTGGTATGGTCATGGGCTGCAGTAGAATTGCTAGGAGCCCTTCATACTTTGGAAGAGATGTCCACAAGCAGATGTTAAGAATCATACTATTTAAAGGCACAGGGGGAAAATATTAGAACTATTCATTTTGTGAGGGAAACAATTAAAAATGTGTAAAATAAAACATATGCAGGCCAGGAAAATTCATATACCCGTATTATTCTTCCTCACACCTGAATGCTTCATTTGTGGAGTCTGTAGGTGCAGCACCTGGCACAAAGGAGGTCCTAATCCATGTGCCTCTCCTTGTTACTGCAGTAGAAATCTCTGGCCAATAGTCTGGATGTGAAGGTGCCTTCAACAAAAATTCTGTGTTTCCCTTTAGTCATAAAGCAATATGCTATTTATTGGCCTAAGTGAAATAATGTGGTGAAATATCCAACCTTGACTCCTTTCAGCTCTGTTAAACATTCTCAGCAGGAAAAGGAGGGATGAAATGGCTAAAGACAAACCTCCACAAGAAACTCTGAGGTGGGAGGTTGTGCAACTGCCTTCCTTTAGCCCTGGGCTTGTGAGTAAAAAAAGAGCACATGCTTCCAGAGTTCTCAAGAAATATCTCTTGCAGTCGTTGAATTCATAAAGAAATGAAAGAAACCAGCACCTTCCTTTGTTTTCCTTAACTTTTAAAATTTTAGCGGTATTTTTTATTTATTTAAAGTCTTTTCTTTGGAGAGCCTCTTTCAAAACCCTGTGGGAAAGCTATTGATGTCTTTAACCTCTTACTTTACATGGATATCTATTTGCATTATTTATTGTCTCTGACAAAGAGCATAAAGTAGTCAACCTTATGTTCAGGGACTGAAATTTCACTCCCAACAAGGTGAACTATAGTAGAGCATCTATTCATGCTGAATGTTTAATGTGCATTGCAGGAGTCCTTGGATAATGTGGCAGGTGAAGTGTTGCACCACTTAAATTAAGAAGTTTAATGAGATCATTTAACAGTGAATGTCATGTCAGCGCTTACCTGGCCACAGAGCTTGTATAAAGAATAAACATAATGAAACATTTGAACTATTTATAATTTACAGTAAATCACTGAGCCTCAATCACCAAAGGGATCACCAAATCTAATTGCCAGCTAATGCTTGGTCTTTAATAAAGGTCAAGCAAAATTATTAGCAGAAGCTTGGGGAGTGCTTCAGAGTAGTAAGAAAATAAAGTGTCTTATTGGTGGAGCCAGGAATGCAGATACGACTACATTTTCAATTATGAGCAATCAGATATAACAACAGAACTTAAAATAAATCCAGTGAAACTACTTGTGTTTTGCTGCTTGACACTTTCTTATGATGAAGTTGTGTATCCCTACTTTTCACAAAAGCCTGTGTTGTGAAGACTCGTTCGAGTGAGACACCTTTAATAGAGGTTTTGGTCTGGCACTTCAGTGAAATGGGTGTCATAATACAAATAGCACCTGAGGTACTACAGACTCTGGGAAGTAAATGGGATGATCTGACTGGGACTGGTCCTTTAAACAGGTGCCAATTTGGTGTAATTTATGGAGATCATCTTTGTCAATTAGAATCACACTCAGAAATTAAGAAGAATGAGCTAGCAGAGAACTATTGACAGACTTGCTCTTGCTTCAGTATGTAGTCCTCTGAGGGTCAAGGTAACATTGATAATGCTAAATAGCAATGTTCACCTAAAGATTTAGATGCTCTTTTAGAAACTTGAGGGGTGCCCTTTGATGCCAGACCCAAGCTGTCCAGCTGCTTTTGCAAAACTTCTCAGCTTTTACAGTGTGTAGGCTTGAAATGCAATATTGGAAATGAAGGAAAATTTCTTCCTAGAACTGAAACAAAGCACTTCACTTTCACATACATCTCTGTAGCTTTGTGAGAAATGTCTGAGACATAGTTGTGACCTCTTGATGGCTATGAATTTAGAAATCCCCAAGACAGCAGAGCTGATGAAAGCTGTTTAATGGCAAATAGGATCACCCAAAACATTGGCTAGAAAGGCAGTTCCTCTCTGTCTCTGTCTTAATTTGACTTGATTTAATTTAACAACTCTATGTCTCACTAAGATTCAAACTTCAGAGCTGTCCTCCACAGATATTTCCTTCCTGGCATTGTGTCAGCTGTTGCTGGACATGAAAGCCTGGATAAAGGATACTGATTTTCAGGGCTGAATTTGACCTTACACCCCATATGAAGCCACATGTTGCAATGCTGATCTGAAATGCAGGCCTTGTCACTAGAATAATGTACCAGGCAGTAGGCAAATAGTGCAGTGTTCTTTAAAGTGCCCTTTCAAATGTTATCCTGAGCTGAAGCACTGCTAAGTCATATCTGTACATCTAGATGGGAGTGCAGCACAGGTAGCTTTTGCAGTA